TTTTTTCACCGAATATTTTTCGTGAAAAAATGTCGACGAACGTAATAGAATTTTAGAGGAAAATTCCTAATGTAACTTTTACGCGAAATTATTATAGAAAATTGTTAAATTTAGAAGAAGAAGAAAAAAAAAAGAAGAAATATTCGTAGAAATAATACGCTTCTGCTAATGAGAGCAATAATCGTTTTTTATGTTGTGATAAATCAATCATAGGATCATACGCGGACATTCGTGGACATTCGTACTCATCGCCGGATAGAATGTTAGTTTAATAAAATTACAGGGAAGAAACATATCGTAATAATATAACACACGTAGGTTTTATCGTTTAAAAGAAAAAAAAAAGAAAAAAAAAAAAAGGAAACTGCTAAAGTGCGTACAACTCCCTTCGATTGTTTTTTGAAATGTTTATACAGAGCTTCGTAGAATAACGAATTTTTTGTCATAGAACTGTAACATATCAAATTTTGGGACAAACTGATCCGAAGTGTAGCTGCTTTCCAGTGTAGCAGATTTTAAAAAAAATGAATCACGAGAAGGTTGCATGGTCATAAAATATAATTGTTGGATCAAAAGGCGACGAGAAGTGTAACATTATCCTTCCACTTAATTTTTATTTTTATGCGCGATTAAATATAACGCATATATCATTGTTGTTTTCAATGTTTATCGAATGAAGCTCATGGAAAAGATGCAATAAATTGAATAAGAATATATGATATACGGAAAGCAAAGCGTTAGGAGAGATGTAAGTAGAAAACGTAAGTGGAAATGGATCGTTCATTGTCAGACATGCTTGACAACCAGTATATCGAAAACGTACATCTCACCGTACCTTTATATATTTTACTTATTTGGTTACTTTAACAATGTCTCGAACAAATATTATTTACGTTAATATTACATAAAATTATAATATTTCTCATTTTTTTATTAAAAAAAGTTTTTGAAAGATATTTAAATTTTAATCAAACAAAAAAAACAAATTCTACAATGTTCGTTAAACTATTTAAATTTATTTTCTTAGAACTATTTCATTTAAGAATCTACTGTTTTTTTTATACTGTATTTTTTTTAATTTTTGTCTACGATACAACATCCCAACAAAAAATAATAAGAAAAAAATAATTCTATCCAAACCACAAAAAAAATTTACGTCAAAATACTTTAAACGTTATTAAAATACCGAGTAAAAAAAAAATCACACAAATTATAAAAAGTTCGATAAAGATAAGTACTTTCAAATAAATAGATGAGGAAAAAAGAGAAAGAAATATATACGGTAGAAAGAAAAAGAGAGAAAGACGAAGACAACATCGATGATTCTTACTGCTTACGATGGACAAGGGAATCGAAAGCCGATATAGGTTTTCGAAGACACGCGTGGAGTTGCGGAACAGAGTTCAGGGGTGTATTCACCTGGCGCCGCCCCAAGTCACGCCTACCTGCGCAATTCCAAACGTAGGCAGGCACGCCTACGCGTGCACCGACACACCGTACGCTCCCACCTACGCGACCTACATACAGTCCAAGCCAAAATTCGCTGGACGTTGGCTCGTTTCTGCCACCGTTCTCTCACGTCTCTCCTAACCAAGAAAATTTATCCAATAATTCGAGTCGTGGTAACATTTTTTTCATTGGGAATCTCGTAATTTTAACCTCGATTGTATAAAATAAGCTTTTCTTTTTCCAATCCTAGAGATTTATAAAATTTCACTCGTGAAATCGCTTCCCCAAAAATCATCCCCATTCTCCATTTACCAATCATCCTTATTAAACCTCAGCCCTAAAAATCCATGTTTCTATTATCACACAAAAACCCTCCTCCAACGAATATCCACCTATTCTCTACCCATGGAACCCTCTAAAAATTAATCCCTTTCCAATAAAAAAAATCCATCGTGTTACAAAACTCGCTCCTCCCCCGAAAAAATCCATCCTATATATCAAAATTCGCAGAAGCCCCCGTCGAAAAGAAAGCGAGGAAAAAATTAATCCCGAATCAATAACGTTCTCCTTCCATCCTCCGCATTTAACCTCGAACGTTGCGTAACGAACGGACGAACGAGAGCCAACGAGAAAGCCACCAACCCCCCTACAAATTTTGCCCTCGACTGTATCGACAGGTGAACGCTTACCGCTGGTTGCCGCGACCCAAGGGACACGTACAACCCGTTCGAAGGTTGCTCGTGTTGGTCTCGGGGCGAGTGTGTATGCGGACTGGTAGGTGGAAGGTGGCGAAGCCTACGCCTACCACCCCCGTACGACCGATCACGCCGAGACTGCTCCTACTACCCCAGTTCGGTGCGACGCGCGTTTCGCGAGTTTGCGGAGCGGGTCACCCGGTGACACGTTCCTACGTCTATCCCATACAACGACCTGGTTTATGCATATACGTGTGTACATATACATATACATATACATATATGCACCCCTGGACTTTTACCTAGAGAAAAGTTAGGCTCTAACCTTGGCGAAGTTGCCCGAGGGTTGCGCTCCTCCTCGCTCGTGTGTCTTCCAAGGAACTTTGATACCGATTCGTGCCGACGATGTCGTGTTTAACAAGGTGGTCGAGAGGATCTTTGGATCTCGAGAGTTCTTTTGTGGAAGAGGGTGGATCTTTCCTCGAGTTTCTCGCTAGGGTGGAACTGACGAATTTTTTCTTTCTCGAAATTGGGTGTTTTTTGTTCTTTTCCTTTTCTTTTTTTTTTTTTTGCAATTACAATTTTAATATTCGTTGGTATTCCTAGAACGATCGTTCGCGGATAGATAAAAAAGACGCGATTAAGATTGTAATTTGATCGAACTCGCTTGAATCTTCGTCGAAACATTCCGAAAAAGCGAATCAAAAATTTCGTTTTTAATTACGAACGATTTGCGACTATACGATAATATCTAACAGAGGATAGAAATAAGAAGAATCGCGACAGCAATTTTCCAACAGGCTTCGCCAACAGCGTTCTTTTTTTTTTTCTTCCTGGAAACAGAGGAGTCGCATTTCGCGTCATCATGGAGCACGTGGCCGCTTCTCGTCACCCCGTTTCTCGACAGCGAATTCCGTTAATAGGGGCGTGTATCACGATCTCGACCCTTCTCTCTCTTTCTCTCTCTCTTTCCCCGCTCTTTCACCCTTCTCGCTCGCCTACGCCTATCTCGGAAACGACGAGGCAACCTTTTCCACTGAGAGAATGGCGGACCGGCTGAAAAATGTCGCGCGACGCCTCATTGGACGCGAAAAGTTGCGGCGTGGTCGCGTTTTCATACCGATCGACCCCCTCGCCCGATGGTGCACGAGCAACCTCTTCCGCAAACGGCTCGTGAAATTTTCTATTTAAGCGTCCCTTTGCACAACCGATGCGAATCTTGGAATTGGTTTTTCCTCATTTGCGAATAGCAGATAGCAGGATAGAAGGATATAATATATACGGGGGTTTAACGAGTTTTCGTCTATTCCTCCTCCTTTGTCGAGCGAAATGAATTTTTTTTTTTTTTTTTTTTT